CATGACTTTGGGAGCCTAGCAGCCAAATGTATGCTGATGTTATAAACCAAAAGTAGGAAACACCTGATGAGAATAGGTTTTACAGTGAAAATAATAAGACCAGTCTAGGAGAAGCTGAACTTTAGATTTTCATAGAAAAAAAAAATTTCTGATAGAAATTGGATCAGGGGCTTAGCAGGTACAGCTGAGAGGTAGATGGACATTTGGGATTTATAAAAAGAGTGGTAAATGACTGTGGGCAATATCACTATCACAGTGGGCTTTGAGTAGGTACCTAGTAGGTCTTTGTGGAAGGAGGGAAGCAGGCATAAAGAGAATGGCTAGAAGAGTATGTAATGCTAGAAAAGAGAGCCAAGAAGCAGAGACCAGGAGGGAAGAAGGAGCCAGCAAAGGTGGTTGAGAAACAAATCTTACTGGTTGGCCATGGTGGCTCACAGCTCTAATACAGCCAGGGAAAAAAATTAGAGAGACAAAATCAAGCTGGGCATGGTGGCATTTGTTATCCCAACTGCCAGGGAAGCGGAGATCGAAGGCCAGCCATGGGCAAAAGCATGAGACCCTATCTGAAAAGCACCTAAACCAAAAAGGCCCAGGAGCACAGATCAAGTGATTGAGTGCCTGTCTAGCAGGCATGAGGCTCTGAGTTAAAAGCCTAGTACTGCCAGAAAAACAGAGAGAGAGTGAAACACAGAGAGAAACACGAAACACCTAGAGGGAGAAATAGAGAAAGAGAGAGAAACACATAGAGAGTGAGACACAGAAAGAGAGAGAAAAACACACATATGGAGAGAAAGAAAACAAAGGTATGCTGTGAGATAGCTTTGCTTCACTTTCACAGACAATCTGAAGACTGCTGCTTAGTCACTTCCATGCAGGAAGTGCCATGAAAGACAGGTTCCCCACCGGAGAGTAGTTCTTGTTGCAGGTGACAAACAGAATGGCACTGTGTACCATGGTGCTTTCCCACAGAGCATCTTTGAGAAGAAGTGATTCATGCTCCTAACTCTGCCCATTTCTCCATTGTTCCTTTCTGAATTTCTGCATCAAGCCTGATTCTACACTGTAGACATGCCCATTGGAGCCTCTCCCACAGCTACATGGAAATAACACTGAAAAAAAGTCCACACTCTGAACTTCATAGGAGACCTGGGCTCAAGACGTGTGTTTTCCAGTAGTGAGCTCCATCCCCAAGGCTTTAGCCCCCAGAAGGCCAGTACCCACTGTCTTTATGACCTGGCACTGCTCTCACTGACTACTGATCCCTCACTGCACAATCCGTATGGAGCCTTTTCAGGCCTCCCTTGACTATGGAAGAGAGTTTGGCCTTCCCACTGTCTAAAAGTCTTCCCTTTGGCTTCCTCGGCATCATCTTCTCCAAGGATTTCTTCTCTGTGGCCTCTCCTCTTCCTTCACTGCCTCCTCTTTCTGTATCTGACATTAAATGAAGCTCTCTACTCTTATCAGTCTCTGGGTAATCCCACTCAGTCTTATTATGACTGATGACTTTCCAAAGTTCTATCTGAATCACAAATGAGAGAAGTCTCTTTAAACTATAGTCTAATAGTATAATTGGTCACTTGTCTCCATTAAACAGGAATGAACTATTGAGAACCCAGGAGACAACCTGTATATTAGAAAATTTCCTTTTCTCCAGCCTGAGGGAATTATTTTCTCTGTTGCCTTGGTATTTACAGTAATTTACTAGCCCCAGATCATCTATTAATCCACAATATTGATCCTATGTAATCTTACATAATCAGTTTCCTCCCTGGACTTCATCCTTTCCAGCCTGCTACAGATAGGGAGGTTTACTTTGAAAGTGTAAAATCTGTGCCTGCCTGTGCAATAGCAGAAATATTTTTATTGAAAACATATGCTTTGAAATAATTCTTATCAAAAGCTATAGGTAATAGTTATGACATACATCACTTTCATTTATGCCCAGCAAGTTGGTTTCAGTTAGTCCGAGTTGCCAGTGATAATGTTATATCATTAACTTGCATTCCTTTAGGCAACTTTGCTGGAATTTGAGCTGCTGTCTCTCTTTAATATTGTGCTAATCAAAATCTTTGCTCTCAGATTTTTTCCTAACCTTAACTCTTGTGGAGCACAGGCGTATGTCAGTTTGATAGTCCCAAAAAAATTACCAGTTATCTAAAGAATTAATGCTTCTGTTCAATCTCAGAAATGGTATGTTTCCAGAAAGAAAAAAAGTTCCATTTGGCCTTCAGAATATGGAATGGGGAGAAGATGGATTCTGAAGGCACTCTTGTTTATGGATATAGTAGGCGTCACTGACATCTTCAGTAAGTCATCAGTGACAAAATGACTTACCAGCATTTTGCGTCAACACTTAAATTTTACTTTCAGTGTGCATCACAAGGGCCGTGGTGTGACCCTGACCTCATACCCTCCCGTGGTACTAACCTGCTCAGTGGTGCTTGGCTGTGTAGTAATTCTGCAGCAGAATTACTATGCAGCCTTTTCTTCAGGGTACATGCTCAAGCCCTGCCTAAGAAACTATAATTATGAAATTCTAGAAGGAGAATACACACTTCCACAGTGATTTGGAAATGCAGCGCTAAGATGGGAATCACTGTCTTGTGGTTGTCACTCAAGGATAACCCAGCCAACCTCAACCTGACTTTCTAGCTTCCTCTCTGCATCCAGAATTCCACTGTCAGTCATCTACCAGTCTACATTTTCATCGGCATTGCCTCTGTATCCATTACTTTTCTATCTACTGGAATCCTAGGCATCTCTTAAGATACTGGCAAAAATCAACTTTAACATGAGTAAGAAAAACCCTGGAACACCTGAAAAAGTCCAGTTCCCAGTATTCTCTGTCCCAAAGGTTCAGTGGAGTGGCAATGGGTTGGGGACGGAGCATATTTAATTAACTTTTCAGTCCACTCTGAGGCAAATAGCGGCCATCTACCACTTAAGTTTTCTTCTGCTCAGCGTTTTGCAGTTTCAATACTCAGAATTTACTGCTCTTTTCCTCTTCATGCCACTAGTGTGCAGCCTACAGGGTCTTATGGGCTGCTATCAGGGTGCAGTCCCCTCATATAACTGGCAGTCTTCAAAAGGCAGGAAACATGCTATCTTAGTTTTTGCCCTTTGATTCAGTGTCTGGCACAATTCAGAAAATATACAGAACAGACAGTAGTGTTTAGTGACATAACATGTATTTATAATTTAAAATTACAGTGCAAAACCCAGAAAAAGTAAACAGAATTCCACAGCTGCTGCTCCATGAGTCAGTGCCAATATCAAGAGTAGACTTTTTTATCTGGGGCTGCTGCAGGGCTGCACCTCTCACACGGTCTCTTTCTGAGACATGCTTCTGACCGCCACCAGGCCTACCCATTTTCATTTAAGCTGCATTTGTTCACTCCCTCTCATACCTCTGAATGCTGGGCTTGCTCTACCTGGAGTCCTCCCTCACTCTGTTCTTCCAAGCTGTTCCCCATCCTGCTAAGTGGAGCTGGCCCTGACCACCTCAGACAGGTGCTTATCTTCTTTGACAGTCCAGCACACTTGGGAAAGATTGCTCTGAGTCCTAGTTTATTTATGTATGCTCTTTCCTCTCTAGAACCCGTTAGTCCCCCTTACCATGGTTTTGCTTTCTGTGGTTTTAGTTACCTGTGGTCAACTGTGATCTGAAAATCTTAAATGGAAATTTCCTGAAATGAATAACTCATAAGTTTTAAATTGTGCATAGTTCTGAGTAGCATGATGAAAGTGCATACCGCCCTGCTCACCTAATTTACATGAGTCATCACTCTGTCCAGTGTGGCCACCTTGGTTATCATATCAGCTGTTACAGCAATAGAGTGGCTTGTGTTCAAATAATTCTTAACAATATCCTGTTTTATTATTAATTATTATTGATCTCTTACTCTGCCTAATTTATAAATTATATTTTACCATAGATATGTATAGAAGAACTAGTACTATATACAAGTACAGGGTTTCAAGCATCTCCTGGGGTGTGCGTGGGGGAGTGTATGCCTTGTGACTACTGTCTTTTTGTCTTTTTGTCTTTTTAAATTACCAGTACCCAATGCAGAGAGTAGGGGCTTAATAAACATTTGGAGAAGGTGGTTACTTCTGACTGATGTAATCAACAAAAACTCCAGAGGACACAGTGTTAAAATGGAATTAAGGGTGGCCCTGCTCCACGTCTCTTCTGAGATGTATAAATCCAAGTTCCATATTTTTGGCACAGTGATGTAAAGGACATTTGTATTCAGGTCTTAGCTATGGGAAGCTCTGAATGTGGTTGACTACCCTCTCCTGGAAGCTTCACAGGCACCATGTTTTCTGGCTCCCCTCTCACATTTCCAACCCTCATTCTTGGACTTCTTAAAGTTGAGTTACTTGGAGCCCTCTCCTTCCTCCAAAGCTCACTTCCTCCCTTTCCACATTCCCTCTGGGGGATAGCTCATACCCCATGACGTCAGTGAGCAATGTGATGCTCAACACTTCAAGTCAGCCTCTGTCTCCAGCCCTTTTCTTTCTCCTGAGCTCCTGACCCACAAATCCAGCTGCTTGTTAGATCATTCATTTGTATGTCACCAAGCACATGCCACCTCGCCTCTCCTCCCCATGAGCTTTCTCTTTTGCCCTGGTCCCTATGTCAGTGGATGAAGCCAGTAGCCAGAGTAATAATGATGACTTTGCTCCTTACCAGTATCATCCTGTTGTTTTAGGGTCATGTTGATTCTGCTTATTGCCTTTGCTGTCCATCTGCACCTTTCCATTCCTACAGGGACTACTGAGGTCTTAGCTCTGTAATTTCTCACCTGATCACTACAAGGACCAGTCATGTTGTTCTTCCTGTTTCTACCTTTGCACTATTTAATCCTATAAGCGAAAGTGATATCTTTGGAAGTCAAATGTAATCATGTCATGTATCTGCTTGAATCTCTTCCCGTTTTGCTTAGGATAAAGTCAAGTCTTCTTAACAAAACCTTCCCTCATCTGTTCCCTTCTAGGTTTTCATCCACTCTAAGCTCTAGCCTCAAGACTCCTCTTTTGCTAGAATCCTCCATTCTCCTCTCACCTCCAGGTCTCTACTGATGCTGCCACTCCTCCCACCACTCCTGCTGTCACAAGCTGATCAACTCCTGCTAATTTAGATTTAGATCCCAGTGTGAACTGTACTTCCCCACCCAGTAGCCTTCTCTGACCCTGTGATCTGAGCAGGATACTCTTTTCTCTACCACCAGAGCAACCTCTACTTATCCACTCTTGGACCTTACCATGTCATAATAGTGAAGTGGCTTGTGCAGTTGTATGCTTAATAATAGTCTGCCTGGAGGATGATGGATGGATGGATGGATGGATAGATGGACGATCTGCTCCCAGCTTCTTTGGAAAGAAGTCTTCTTTTAAAAAGAAGGAACAGTTCTAGAGAATGTATCGATGATAGGTGAAATTGTAAGAGACGATTGAAGTCTCTTAAAAACGCATTGCACTTGTGTCACCATTATCTGTAAAAAACCAGTTTTTATCACACTGACAGCCCCATATGAGGCAGAAGGAGCAAAATGTATTGAACTTCATTTACTAAAGAGAAAATCAAGGTTCAGCATAACAAAATCTCTGGCTAAAAGTCATGTAGGACTTTTGACCTCCACAGCCCATTTGCCGAGGCTGCCAGTCCTCCACTGTTCCCTAGAAAACTGAGCAACCTTCTCTCCACCAAGAAAGCCTTGGGAAAAGAAGAAATGGTCATGAAAGCATGTTAAAAGAAAAGGACAAACATCAGATCAATTCTTTCACTCAGTCATTCAGCAAATACTTCTAGTTATGTGTCAGGCCCTGAGAATGTTGACAAAAGTGGGGACTATGTCTGTCTTGTGTACATTCAGTGGAAGAGGCAGACTCATAAAAACCATGGAAAATTGTGTGAAATTGGAATCTCAAGACAGGCTTAGGTGACACTGCAAGAGCACGTGGCAGGGACATTCGACCCATTGTGGGGTGGAGGGGCTGAGGATAATGAGGAGCAGCCATTATTTACATGGGCCAGACCTGCCAAGGATAGAAACAGAGTGAAAAGATTGTTGAGACCCTGACCAGAAAGCTGTTCATTTCTTGGAAGTTTAAGGATCAGAAGAAAACAAATTCTCAACATTGTGGAAAAGGGAAGGAGACAAAATATTTCACTCTGAGTCAGCACAAGACTGGTGTTCCAGCCAAGTGTAGCTGAAAAGTTGGGAGAAGAGCAGGATACTGGAGCAAACTTGGGAGGAGAGGAGGCTGGCACAGAAAAGGAGCAATTAAATTTCCCCTTCATGGTGATCTTCCTGCCTACAAGAGCTCACAAGGCCAGTGGGCAGGCTTCACTGCCAGAGCCTGCCTCTAGGCCTTCACTGGAAGTCAGCCCAAACTAGGACGTTTCTGCTGGCCTCAGCACTGAACCTGCAAAGCTAGGTCACTGGGGGGTGACCACAGGTAATGGGTTTGGTTCCCTTTAAGACAGTGAGTGTGCATGTAAGTGAGTCACATGGTCACTGTGTACCAGGCCAGGACAAGGAAGCCCAGTCTAGAGGACATATACAGAGTCAGATTGTTGGACAGAAGAGGAGAGAGAGGTGCCAGGAACACTGACCGAAGGTGGACCATGAGGGACAAGCTTGCCCTGAGAATAAAGGAGCTGCATATTCCTTAAAGGATACAGACCTATGAGAAACTACACAGGTTCCCACAGATTCTGACACAGTTTAAGGTGAAAATGTGTATGTACTCAGCTATGGCACAGTACATTCAAGGACCACCCCAACAGAAGCTGTGCCATGCTGTTTGAACTTCCAGCTTCTAAAACTGTGAGCACAATAAATCCCCTTTCTTTACAAAGTAGCCTACCTTGCGTATTTTGTTATAGTAACAAAAAACTGACTAACACACTGACATTAAAATTATATGCTTGTGTATGTTTTCAAAATCTCTTCTCTACAACAGATTTGAAAGCTGAAATTCTTATCACATTTGTGTCAGCTTGCCTTGTTTCTTGAGGTTTTCTAGTACTTCTCCTTGATCTTGAGTTCATCACCAGGCCAACATAACGTGACATTTCCCTGTGTCCTTGTGCACCTTGCATAAGCCCTTCAGGATAGCTGCCCTCCTTACTGATTTACGATTGTAATGCCGTTTTTCTGTCCCACTGGCAGTCTGCATCTCAGTTATGGGTGTTAGTTATGCTGGTCTATGGTGCTGGTACCTGAACCAACTCCTGCAATGCCCCTCCACTGTCTTTACAGTCCAGCAGTCCACGTTTGGGTAGCTATTACAAATTCTATCTATAAGGAGAACTTGTTTTGTTTTTAAAAAAAAAAAAAAAAGAGAAAAGGTTTCTATACAGAAATCACTTTTACTCTAGTGGATTTTAAAAAAGCAGCCAGGCCATTGTTTTAGTGAGGACGGGTTGTCTTTACTTAAAAATATACCTTTGGGTACGAAGGCATGACTCAGGTGTTAGAGTGCTTACCTAAGACCCTGAGTTCAAACCCCATTACCATCAAAAGAAAAAAAATACCTTTAAAAAACTATCAGCTAAAAGTTCCATTGCTTCAAACTTTTTATTTGTTATCACAACAAGAGACTGAGGGAAGAGGCCACAGATTGGCCTTTGTCCTCGGTATCTCAGAGGTCAGGTGTATTCCTAAGGCCTCAGCCTTTCCACCAGGCTATATGGGCACTTGCTCACTGAAGTCAGGTGGAGGAGGTCAGACAGGGTGCCCAAATAGTGTCCATATGTGGCTGTCTGCAAAAGGGTACATGGGGGCCGGGAGCAGTTCACTTTGCATAGGTTGAGAGAAGCAAACAGCCTTGGAGACCAGGAAATGTTAGGACGAGAGAGTAAGAATCCAGATGTGGAGAAGCCAGAATACCTACCATCAGACCCAGACTACACACTGAGCTTGTCACCTGTCCCCTCTCCTAATTTTCCCTTGAAGTCTATACAGCCATCTCTGTCTGGTATCTGTCTGCAGAAACTTTGACCTCATGAGGAAGTGCTGCAATTATTTTAAGATGATCTTTTACAAAATTGCTGTCATGGCTGACAGATGAAACAAGGTCTTGTCACATGTCACTTTAGCTTGTCTTGTGTGTTTTCAGCCAACATTAGAAATACCAATTAAGTCTTCTTTAGAAATCATTTCTTACTAGTAATGTGTTTTTCCGTTACCTCAATAGGGCACCGTAAGTTGATCAATTATTCCATCGACCGCAGTACCAGCAGAGTCTGCATAATTGTAAACCCTCCCCCTGCTGGTAGGTAGCAAAGTAATTATCCAAGCTGATATCCTCACTTTGAAATAGGAAATAATATTTAGCAGGTTGGCAGAAATAGCTCCTCATTCTGTTTTTTGGGGGGAAGCCATTTAGTCATTTGACAAGTGAAATGTGATTCTGGTTTGTTGCCTTATGGCTTCGCTTCATTACTAAATGTTACTGAATTTAGTCATGGTCGCGAGGCCTAGTTGGATATAGATCCAATGGAAAGATCTTATGTTTCACTTTGTGAAGAAGAAATTTTCCATTTATCTATTTCCATTTTGCCTTCATAAAAAAACTTAGAATTCTTGAGGGAAAAAGATGTTACATTATGTAAATAAAAGAAGACAGATTGGTTAAAGGGAGGGAAAGAGTATTTCCATTTCAGCTCAGCTTTGGAAATCTAGGCCAACACTGATAAAAATTGAAGAAACACAGATTGAAACCAGATCTGTCTTAGTGAGCAGGCCCGGTGCTGACTCCCCACGTGGTGACTGGCTGGAGAAACCATGCACACAGCTTCCCTTAGCCACTTTCCAAGTGGACTTGCTCGGCTGTGTTTCACTTGTTTTAATGACTTGAGGCCTCACTGTTCACAGTGAATCACAGTTTTTACATGTGAAAGTTGGAGGACATTTTACAGGCATGAAACATCTCCATACCAGAGCTGCTCCACCCTTCACACCCTGTACCTCTTGTTACATTGGCGACATTTTCATTAGCACTTCTTATTCCATGTCTGGCTTTTAAATTTTAATGCCTGTCTCACAAAGAATGAGAGACTAAAGGCTTCTTAATCGAAATGTATTACTTTCAATTTACCATCTTCAAAAAAAATTTTAAAAATACCTGTTGAATAACAGGTTATAGCTAGAATTTAAAAGAATCAAGGAAAGTATGACAAGGCTAAAAAAAGGCAAACATTTGTTCTAGAGAGACAAATATACGAAGGGTAATGGAGGACTGAAGTACATTTTTAAATTCTGGATAAGAAATGTCTTAAGGAACTAACTGGCCTGTGATTCTTCAGTCCAGAGCCAGCTCATGTAAGAGAACATGGAAACTCTGTTCTTAGTCCCAGGAAAGATCAAGGAGAAGAGAACTGAAGTTCTCCAGTAACTGTACGAAGCTAGGGCTTGTCACTGAATTCTGACTCACCTGTGGCACTTGCCATGCATGGTATCCTATGGTTCAAAGGAGCCTGCTGTTGAAAACTGTGCATGGATTCTTTTTCCCATGGTTCTGCGCACTGTCACTAAAGACAGGTGACGATAACACAGGACTGCCTAGAGCTAATTGCATCCACTGAGCTATGTAATGCACACACAGGAACTTGAAATTTTTGTTTCTGAAATTTCTTTTGATCATTTTTATTTATTTGTTTTTGACCACACTTGATTAAAACCATAAATAATAAATCTGCAAAAAAGGAGGTTTTACTGTCAATTCAAGCATGTTCAAGCATGCAGATTCAGGAAAGGATTTTCTTTTGTGTGTGTGTGTGTGTGTGTGTGTGTGTGTGTATGTGTGTTCTGTTTCATGGTTGTTTGACTTTTCCTTAAAAAGCCATGTATTTGCTGGTTTTCCATCTGTAAAAAATTTTTAATTCTTTTTCATTTCATTTTGTGGTGTTTCCCATTCTTGCCCTTCTGTCCTTTATTCTAGATTATACAAGGTGTATTCTCCCTTTCTGCCCCTTCCAGTCCATCTTCATTCCTGCAATGGTTTGATTTTTTGCCGACTTTCTTGTATTCTGCATCTTCTGTTGACTTGCTATCTCTTCCTTTAATTATCACATCTTAAACTTTGTGTTCATTCACAAAAAGCTGTGGTAAGCTTTATTTTGTGTTGCTAAATGCCTGGTGTGTGATTACTCCTC